ATATAAATAAAAATGAAAATGTAAGTTGAAGGGTAAAAATTGTAAATATAGAAAATCAGATTTTTTTTAAATGGGTGGGTCCCACACAAACTAACCTATTTCTACCAACAAAAATAAAACTAACCTATTTTTACAAACCTTTTTCAAAACCAACCCATTTTTGCAAAAAACTCATAAGGTCAAGGGGTTTTCCTGAAGGTGAGGATAGCTGGAGGCCAATAAGACCAATCTTTTTAGTCGGCCCGATTTCAGATTGCATCCAGAAACGACTGTATATTAATATCATAAGTATAATAAATAGTTGACTTAATATGGCAACGGTTAATTTGCATACCTATATGTATTCTCTACGTCATCGAAACCACCCAACAAAGTCAAACCTTCTATGAACATGGTGAAACAGCAAAGCCAAATCTTTCTTAATCATTAGTTACTTTTTCATTAAGACCTTGATCCATACATTTGTTGTTTTATCGATCATGTTCATCAATCAAGAAATCCTAGCAAGCTTTTACCTTTGTTTCTTTACGTTACTATCACCAAATTATAAAACGTCTTATCTAAAAGTGTTACAATAGATTTGTTGAATGGTTTTGGATGTTTTAACAATTTTTTAAGCCATTCTGAAAATAAAGTGCTATATATTAGTTATTTTATAGCATACTTTTTAGAAGTATTCTATAAACCCATCTTTATTTATGTAACATATTATCAAATAATATTGTATAAAATAGCTAATAAGACATTTTATTTTAAAAACATCCTGAAAACTTGTTGAAACGTTTAAAAGCGTCATATAAATCTATTGTAACATTTTCAGATATGATGTTTTTTGTTTTGGTCCTATAAACGTAAATCCTATAAAATATTTTGTTATGACACTTAAATATTTTAGGGATCCTGTAAAGCCAATTTTATTGTAGTGTAGTATTAGAGGCAATTCAAATATGAGTTCCATTTATAAGATTAAAAAACTTCTTAGCTTCTACAATTTTATGGGATTCGATTCCTTGTATCGTTTGTTGGATTTGTGTCGCCACAACGGATCTGTAGAATTGGTATATTTTGACGTCCTCTTTTTACTCGATATTCTTTTTTTTTTATTGAACTCTGTTGATTAATTTCTACTTCTTCAGGGTGCGTTTCGTATTCATACCAGGATAGAACTAAACAAAACATAACAATTTTCCAACATTACAAAACATATGACTTTCACCGACGGATATATCCGTCGGTGAAAGCCGAATCCATAGGTAACCGTCGGTGAAAATCCCTCGGTTAAAATGTCGTGGGAAAAAGATTTACCGAAAGATCACCGACGGATGTCACTGACGGATGACCGACGACAATTATTACCGATAGATCACCGACAACCATTTTTACCGACGAATCATTGATGACTTTTACCGACGAGATTAAAAAAATTAATTGAATTACCGATAAATATTCCGTCGCTAATCTGTATTTTTTAAATAATTTAAAAATGCCAACTTTCCTGTACAAAATCTGCCAGATTTTAAAATAAATTGCAAAATTTAAAAACAATAAAATCCTAAATGATCATACAAAATATCCCAAATTCAGATACAAACATACTCTAAAACGGTTCTAACATATCCTAAGAATGGGAGGGGAAGGGTTAGCATGGTATTGCGCCATGAATGCCTCAAACTGTGCAGTCAACGCTTTCCGAGCTAACTCGTTTGCTTGCTCCTTCTGTATATGCTCAATGTCTGCCTCTTTCTCCATTCTTCCTCTATCAGTGCCTCTTATCCGTTCTTCCTCCATATGTGCCTCGTAGGATATTGTCGGCGGAAATGTTGCTCTGTTTGGTAGTATAAAGCGTTTTCTTTGATATTTAACAAACGTGTTGATTATTTGATTAAATTGCATCTTGGTACATTTGACTTCATAAAATTTCTAAAATGCATACATTTGAGGTTTTTGGACAATTTGTAAACAAATAATAAAAGTGTGATTCGTTACCGAGGTTCATTTGTGTATGTGAAATTTAAATGTTTATAATTGCATAATCTCTTGGAATATACATGTCGTTGGGTGTGATTTTGATGCTTTAACCCTTATGTATGAGAGTTAATTATTTTGTTTATTCAAGTAGGAAGTTTGAGGTTTCTATCTTGAATGCTAGTGAGTAGACACTAGAGGTCGAACGTGGAACTCAACTAGAAAACAAATGGGCACTAAGATTCGATATTCTTGAGGTACCACTCGAAGAAGTGTGCACTAAATATACGGTAGCCTTGGGAT